AAGGTCGAGGGTTCGATCCCAGATGTGCAACATGTCTGATGTGTTAACCCCACATTGCCCCTCTGCTTCGGTGGCGGTGTATGAATGGAGTAGTGATGTAGCGTCTGCTAAGTGAATTGTAAAATGCAGAAATGTACACGGAGGCTGGCAGTAAAGGTCCAGGTGACGGCGGGTCGCAGAATGTGTCCGTTTGCGTTCACACATGAAGCGGGAACATTTCAGGAGTTTTGTGTTTGTGTGAAAACACCACAACAGTCTCTTTGTCCACCTTCGCCTGGGGGGAGTTTACAAGCCCCTGATCCTCTATTGGAGGCAGTACCAGAGGCATAAAGGGGGGGGGGTATTTTCACACCTCACCTGTTCGGTTAAATCAAACTCAAGTCTGTTTCCCAAGTTAGTGCGGTTTGTTTGTGCTGGTGTGAAAGCTGGTGTGGACCAAAGACCGGTACAGAGACCGGTACAGAGACCAGTACAGAGACCGCTTGAAAAAGAGGGTCTCTGTCCGCTTTGTTTCAGACTCCGTCTTCTTGACCTGACTGCAGGACGTAACCATGGTGGGCCCTCTCTGTTCATCATCCCTGAACATTAAAGACCAGAGGAGCAGGTCCTGGTTCAGGAGGACTAATGTGGTCCTGGTTCAGGAGGGTTAACGTGGTCCTGGTTCAGGAGGGTTAACGTGGTCCTGGTTCAGGAGGACTAACGTGGTCCTGGTTCAGGAGGGTTAACGTGGTCCTGGTTCAGGAGGACTAACGTGGTCCTGGTTCAGGAGAGTTAACGTGGTCCTGGTTCAGGAGAGTTAACGTGGTCCTGGTTCAGGAGGACTAACGTGGTCCTGGTTCAGGAGGACTAACGTGGTCCTGGTTCAGGAGGGTTAACGTGGTCCTGGTTCAGGAGGACTAACGTGGTCCTGGTTCAGGAGGGTTAACGTGGTCCTGGTTCAGGAGGGTTAACGTGGTCCTGGTTCAGGAGGGTTAACGTGGTCCTGGTTCAGGAGGGTTAACGTGGTCCTGGTTCAGGAGGGTTAACGTGGTCCTGGTTCTCAGAGACTCCAGAACATATTATTTCCAAACCGTCTCGTTGTCTTTCAGCGACATCAGTCCGTGAAGTCGTCTGACCATTCAGAGACTCTAAAGCGTCTTTAGAGCAGCCACAGCCAATCAGGAGGCAGCGAGTCTTTGTTACTTCAGGGAGTCCCACTAGAAATTCTGGCCAATCAGAGAACATTGTCCTCGTACATCACACTTTCTAGTCCGCTTGTAAACGTCCCCGTGTGAACACAGAACAAACTCGAGGTCATTATGTAACAAAGTGGTCCATGATTCAGACCAAAGCAAACGATCTACAGGTGTGTGATGTATCAAAGGGGCGTAAAGATGGCTGCTGTTGGGGAACCTCAGTCTGCTTTATTGGGTGTCTTTGACTTCTGCTTTTGTTGCCGTGGTAACAGGTGTTTATATCGATTGCTTGTTCCAGGATCAGATCAAGTTATAAAATCTGTTCAGTTATTGTGGATGTCATAAATTCACGGGAAGGAAACTGTCATGACCTTTGTTTTCTTTGTTCACAGAGCGAAACGCGTCGACCAATCTCGTCTAGCAGCTCGCCAGCCTCCTCTGTGAGCGTGTGTGTGTCTGTCTGTGTAAGTGTGTGTGTGAGGTCATGTCAGGCATGACCAGCGGCGTGTGTGTGGAGAGCGACCTCTCCTCGATGCTCCAGAGAAGCTCCGCCTCCTCCCACCATCACCCAAATCACCACGGTTACAGCGGACAGGGACAGGTGAGCCCGTCTGTGTTTGACTTTTTAATATTAGAAACAAAGTTGATGTTATTATTACGACAATCACTCAGGTATCAACCACTCAGGTATCAATCACTCAGGTATCAACCACTCAGGTATCAATCACTCAGGTATCAATCACTCAGGTATCAACCACTCAGGTATCAATCACTCAGGTATCAATCACTCAGGTATCAACCACTTAGGTGTCAATCACTCAGGTATCAACCACTCAGGTATCAATCACTCAGGTATCAACCACTCAGGTATCAATCACTCAGGTATCAATCACTCAGGTATCAACCACTCAGGTATCAATCACTCAGGTATCAACCACTCAGGTATCAATCACTCAGGTATCAATCACTCAGGTATCAATCACTCAGGTATCAACCACTTAGGTGTCAATCACTCAGGTATCAACCACTCAGGTATCAACCACTCAGGTATCAATCACTCAGGTATCAATCACTCAGCTATCGACCACTCAGGTATCAATCACTCAGGTATCAACCACTTAGGTGTCAATCACTCAGGTATCAATCACTCAGGTATCGACCACTCAGGTATCAATCACTCAGGTATCAACCACTCAGGTATCAATCACTCAGGTATCAATCACTCAGGTGTTGATCACTCAGGTGTTGATCTCTCAGGTATCAATCTCTCAGGTGTTGATCTCTCAGGTGTTGATCTCTCAGGTATCGATCACTCAGGTGTTGAT